TGTTATCATCTTATATCCCCCTCGAAGTCCGAAAACTTTTGTCTGAAACATTTTTTCCTAGTGTGCTTATTTTTCGAGATATTTGAAAGTTTCAGGTTAAAAAAATCACCCTGTATACATATATTCAAATTCAAATATATGAATTTATATTTATAATTTGAATATATGAATTTATAATTTGAATATATGTATACATATATATATATATACATATTTCATGATGAAGATTTGATAAGTTATTTAATTAACAATAATTACAATTTATATTAATAATTATAATTTATAAAAGGCTATAATATAATATGAAAATATTTATAAAACAAAAAATATTTTACATAAATTTAGAAAAAATTACACATTTTTTATCATTATTTACACATTTTTTATCAAATTATATACAGGGTATCCCATAAATTATAATTAATATTTCGAGGAGTAAAAGAGAATAAAATTTTGAACTAAAAGTTCCTTTCCCAATTTTGGCTAAAACCATTATTTACAGTTATATTAACGAATAAAGTTGATCAATCAAATTGCGCTCAGCAAGAGTACGCAAAAGCTTAGCATGCCATGGGACTCCTCGCGCTTACTACGGATTCTCCCGATTAAAATTTTATTTTAATTTTTCATATTAATAAATAAGTAAATGAATATAATAAATAATAATAAATTAATAGTGGTTTGACAATGAGTCAAAATTGGGAAAGAAACTTTTAGTTCAAAATTTCATTCTCTTTTTTTCCTGGAAATATTAATATGAGACATCCGACAGGATATCTTTAATTAATAATATGAAAAAAAACAGAAGAAAATATTTGTATAAAAGAAGCAAATATTATGATAAACAAAACAATCTTTTTAAGGTCATATTTTTAAAATTTGAAAATATAATTATATGATTTTTTACATGATTGTTATATGTATTTTATAAAGTATTTGAGTAGAGTTATCAACGAATTAATTGTTTACAAGATATTATTACTATTTAGTTTACAGCAAAAAATTATTTTGAACTGGACTAAGTGTTTTGAATATCGTAGATTTTTGAATGCTGAAAATGATGCCGTAAGCCAAAAAATTTCAGCATATCAAGTTTTTAACATCAGGTAAGATAATTGAGATTTAATGTCCAAAAAATGGTTTTTTTCACGATATTTAACATTTTAATTCTATAAAAAAAGTTAACGTTAATTTAATTACTTTAAAATTCTGATCAAAAATTATGAATGTATTATTTATTTTCCATAGATTGCATTTTTTAATTTCAACTTATTTTTTAGCAATACAATAAGTAAGTGAGGCAGATGGGAATCGGCGTGGTTATTAGTACGCAATATTTAATTCACATAAAATTTACTTTATTCTCAAATCAAGGTTTCGGTTATCTTTTTCAGCCATCTTCAGTGACAATTTACAATTAATAGTTATACATTTACTCGCTCGGACTTTGAAGAGATACAGTTGCTACGATAATTTTCTTTTCTCTGATTTTAAATTTTGACCAAATTTTATACATCGTTAATTTTAACTATTTATTCATTACTGTTATTTATTAATTTTATTGTTGCCAAGATGCGAAGTGTGTTTTATTACGTTCGAGGACATATAGTTAGACCATGCAGCCTCAGTTAGATTCAACTGCACGGACAGCTATTGGAGATAACTGCTTTCTCACTCACTAGACGTAGAAGAATACATACATTAAGAAATTAAGAGCGAAAGTTAAATGTGACTATTGTAAATTGTCACTGAAGATGGCTAAAAAAGATAGCCAAAACGTTTTACTTTTAGAATAAAGTAAATTTTATGTAAATTAAACATTACGTACCAATAACTACGCCGATTCCCATCTGCTTCACTTACCTATTGTATTTTTAATTTAGGGAATCTTGTTAGGTTTTTATTGTTTGTTATTTTTTAGCCATGTTATTACGAAGGAATTAAATACAGGATTTTTCTAAGATAACAATTAAATTTTCTATCTGATGAAGTTACATGTATGTACTTATAATTCTTAGTTTGTGCTTATCGATGCACATATACAATGCAATTTATCATGACAAATTCCGTTAAATGCATAAGTATCCCATATACACATCGTGACAAATTTTTAAGCATATACATCTTTTTTATTACGCATCCAAACCTAATTTTATCAACTCAACATTGTTTACATGTAATTCGCAACTCAGGCTGGTATCATTTCGTACCAACAAAATGCCAAATTTTTTTAGGAAGCAAATATTGGTATACATTGATAACTCTGCACAAATTTTTTTTTCATTCTTAGCATAAATTCTACCGCTGGACGCTGGTAGAACCTGAGTTACATTGATGCCTATACTTTAATCGTAAAGGATTTTTAATCTGTTGTTTTTAATTATGTTTATTTTATGCTGGAAAATAATCACGTTCGGTCGATAAAACAGACGACTTTAGGATGCAGTTTTAAGAAAACATTGAAAATGTAAAATAATACTTATAATACGCATTCGAATAGCAACTTTAATAGAAATTCGTAAAACATTGAATACACAAAGATTTATTTCGTATATAACTGTGTATGTATAAGCATTTAGATATAAATAAATTCAGCAGTAAGTATTATGTATTAAACATTCAGATTATATTAATAAAAATAGTGATAAGATTTTAAAAGAAATATAACAAAATGTATTTAAATAATTTAATATCTGAAATTTGACATTTATGCTTGTCATGACGAACAATTTATTATATATTAATCCACAAACTGACTATATTTATTGTTTTGTTACAATTATAAATGCGAATACAATTCATACAGAAATATTTTTCACATAAGAAAAAGAGCCTAATAATTGCTCGTCGATTTTAAGACTGAATTGTGTGCCAAATGGTACTCTATATGAGACAATTATACAGAAAAGTTTCAAGCTGAAATGACAATTGTTACCAGAGTTAGAGGGGGGAGAGGTGAAATCAAAGTTCAATACACTGATTGACATGTTAAAGTTTACTGCAAAAGGAGAGTAGTTTCTCATAGATTTTGGGACTTTGAAAACGATGTTGCCCTTAGAATTTGTCTACCATGTCACATTTTTGAGAAAAATGGAAGTGAAACCTTTAAAAAACACGTTTTTCGCAATTTTTGAAAAATCGGAGCGAACTTGATGCAGGTAAATAGTTTGTAATAATGGAGATACTTGGGCTCAAGTACAATGTTTAAATAAAGAATGAAATTCGAATTCCCTTTAATCAATAAAATTAACTAAAATAAAAGGGCTATGAGAGCGCAATAAGCCGTGCGCAACCAAAAACTAAATTAAATTAAATTAAATTAAAAACACCATGAAAAACTAAATTAAATAATATTTAAGTTTTCATTTAAGATTTCTTAGAAGTTTCTAACACATCAAATTCATCCGCTACGATTTTTCAAAAATTTCGAAAAATACATTCTTTCTACTTTAATTACCTTTCTACACAACACAAATTTACAACATATTTTTATTTTCTGTTAAATAAGAATTACATATATTATAAGAAAAAATAGCAAAACGTGTTATTATACAGTACATATTTATTAACTTATACTCTTATTTTAATTAGTAAATAATTCGATATATAATTAAACATTGTCTAATTTTTTAAATACTATTTATCAACTTTTAAGATATTTATTCTAAACCTTATAGGACTATTCAGCGAATAAAAAGTATATGAGTTTTATAACATATATAAATTGCTGGAAATAATTGTTGGAAATCTTTTCTTTAAACATATGAATAAAATAAATTTAAATTCCTTTTTTGAACAAAATGATTTTGGATTACTAATTATTATTTGTATTATTTTTCTATATTTTTTTCAATTGGAAACATTTATAAGCATACAAACATTGATTTACTGAAAAATTATATCATAAAATAAAAGAATTGTTTTACTTTAAATATTCTATATAAGTATGCCATATTCCTTTTTGGTGAAATTGTATTATACAGTTGCAAATCATAAAACGAAGTCGTCCGTTCTTAATATCTTCTCTGGTTTGATAATAAACGTCTAAAATAATACAAAAATTTATTATAAATTGTTATGTATTATACAGAGTCAGGCAAATATTATACTAGTTTACAAAATATTTTTTAAATCATTTTAAACTAGAAAATATGTTTCTTATAGATTTTTGAATGCCGAAAATAATCCTACGAGTCAAATTCCTTTTGTTAGGTTTCCGAAATAATTGAAATTTAATATGCAAAAAAAATACTTTTTTGTGATATTTGAAATTTTTTTTATAAAAAAAGATTAATGTTATTTTGAAATTCAGATCAAAAGTCGTAAATGCAATTTTTAAATTTTGATATCTTAATTCGTCTTAATTTTTATTTACTTACAAAGGAACCTCGCGAAGTGTCAAATTCTGATTTTAATGAAACTTGGTACACTTTGAGGTCACATAAATAGACGAATTGAGAAATTATCAGTTGGGGCTAAAATACGGTTTAAAGAGATAAAACCACTCCTTATATATAAATTAATTTTTCTTTTTTTCGTTATATCTCGAAAACTATTCAAGATATCAAAAAATATTTTATACAAAAGTTTTACAGTAAAATTACCTCTATTCATTTACATTAATAATATTTTTTTAGAATAATTATATTTAAAAAATTTTTTTTAATTTTTGAAAATAATCATTTTTAAAAAATTGTATTAATGTAAATAAATAGAGATAATTTTACTGTAAAACTTTTGTACAAAACATTTTTTGATATCTTAAATAGTTTTCGAGATATAACAAAAAAAGAAAAATTAATTATATTAATTTATAATTTATATATAAGAGGTGGTTTCATCCCTCGTTTTTTAGCCCCAATTGATAATTTCTAAATTTATCTATTTATGTGACCTCAAAATGTACCAAGTTTCATTAAAATCAGAATTTGACAATTCGCGAGGTTCCCTTTGTTAGTCATAATGGATACAGTTTTGTTAAGATACCAAACTAATTTTTGGATCAAACAGTAAATTAATGTTATTATCAGCTTGAATATTTTATACTTTATTTTGGCACTTTTTGACTTGAAATATAAAATATAATCTCGTAAATTATTTATTTCCTTACAACTTTATATTCAGAATATTTATATTCAGAACTAAAAAAAATAATTTTTGTAAAAAAAATCATATAATTCTATTTAGAAAAAATGATGGTGATCTTTCGGATCTTTGAAACTATTCTATCTAGAAAAAGAAGATTTACCGTAATAAAATGATCACTTCTATTAATTTTTGTTAAGTAAATTCTTCTTTTACTCTCATAGTTTCGCAATATTCGAAATAATAATAGCTATTGCCTCACCCAGTAATTACAAAATCACATATAAAATATTACAAATATTTCATATACGCATGTACATACGCACACACATGTACACACGCACACAAATGCAGATTACATTTATTTTTTTATAATTGACATTTATATTTATATATACATTGCCGTTGAAAAGTTTCCGGACAGTAGCAAAATTTTTATGTTTTGGAGTTTTAAACCGTTGAATTTTCAGTATGGCAAACTTGCTTTCAGATTTAAGAGTTTACAGTAGTAGGGATGCATGAAACTTAAAATCAATACAGAATATCTTAAAGTATTTTTTAAAATAATAAAATTACTTTTTGCTTTAGCACAGTGCTGCACTTAAGTTCAACAATTTAAAACTCCAAACATAAAAATTTTGCTAGTGTCCGGAAATTTTTCGACGGCAGTGTATATATAGAAGATTTCAAAGTATATTTTTTCGTAAATCAAAATATTTATAGAAAAAAAGTCAAAGACAAAAATTATATCATAACAGTCTTTACATTTTTTTCTGGTAGATTTTTAGATATAAAAGCTCAAAACTGGTTAAATTAAAGTCGAATGGCTACCGAATTGCATTTAGATTCCACGAAAAATTGTATTACCACATTTATGCACATAGTTCATGACTAAATTTTTTCATGGATTATATGTATCATCATGCAATAGTAATCTGAGAATCAAATTTTTTAAAAAGACATGATAGCATCATATATTATAGAGCAAAATTTGTACACACCTTTATAAAGTTTTTTCCACAAGGTACATCTTTCCGTAATATCTCATCCGTAAATCCTTGATTTAGACATTTTTTGTACCAATTATCTTCCTACACATTATATAGAAAACTCAATTACTTAAACTTATCAAGATATTAAAAAATATTATAATTATTAATAATTAATTAAATTAACTTACAATTTTTCGAAGTTCTTTTTTATTATTCTTCGTTTGTATTTTATCTTCTTCCTTCACTTTTTTATTTTCTCGATTGTTTTCAGAATTACAGGTTGAAATTAATTTTTGTTTTAACGAATTTTGTAATTCAACTGTAGAACAATTTTTTTCATATAGATTATCCTTTTTTCCTTTTATATAAATTTCGTTATCACTCATTTCCTTTATAGATACACTCTGCGAAGGTTTTGCATTTTTAGAATTTTCCCAACTTGCAATTGTATATTTACTATTATTGTTTGAATTATCTTTCTCAACAATCAAATTTTCTTCTTTGTTCACATTTTTTTTTAAACTCGTATTTTTTTCATTTATAATGATATTTTCTTGTTGAAATCCATATTTATTTTCTTGCGACATATTTTTTTCTTGATTATTTTTTGTAAAAGTCACATTATTTTCTTTAAAAACTTTCTGTTTTTGTAATTTGACGTTTTGTTGCTCTTTCTCCGTAGCAAAATTGTTAACGATTTTTTCATTAAATTCGCAAGTCATGTCAATTCGCATGTCAGAAATGTGCTTCGATTCGACTTTCGTTAGAAAAGGAAACACTTTTTATAATATTTTTGCTTTGAATTTTTGCAGAAATATTGCTTTGGCTAGTGTCGGAAACATATTGTTCACTTTCGTTAAAAAGAATTTTTTTTGAAATATTCTCATTATTCTGTGAATCGTAAGTTTTGCCAATCATTTTGCATTTTATTTGTTTAGTATCAGCATTCTCCATGTTCTTCATTGCAATATTACTCTCATTAATGTCAGACATATTTTTCCATTCATTCCCATAAAAACAATTTTTTGAATTTTTTTTATTTATTTGAGAATCGCAAGTTTCGGGAATTATTTTGCGTTTAAATTTTACATTGTCAGTGTTCTGTGTCATCGCAATATTGCTTTTATTGACGCTAGAGATATGTTTTATTTTATTTTCGTCAGAACAGTGAATTTTTTTTAAAACAGTTTCATTGTTTTGCGATTCGCAAGTTTCAGGAATTATTTTTCTTTTAATTTGTCTTGTACCAGTATTAACAATATCTTGTGTATTCTCGATTATTACATCAGAAGAAACAAATGTCGGAGTCTCCAGTTTTAAAAATGTGGCAAAGTCATATTTTGGATTGCAATATATTTCCGTGGTGCAATATAAAATCGCGAGTGGAATTTCGCTATCAGAAATCATTCTGCGTTTGACACCTTGTAGCTTGTGATCTACAATACAGAAATATTAAGTTGTATATTCTATTACTTTTAGTTTCAATGATAATACAATTACTTACAAATAACTGGATAGTCAGCTATGATAGCTTGAGTGAGTTGTGAAGAATCATTAGTAGGCTGTTGTATGACAATGGCATTTTTTGCAGTGAGGTCTCGAGGAGTAAGAGGTCTCTTCGTAGGATATACACACGATTTACCACCTAAAATATAATCTTGTTTTACAATACTTATAAATTAATATAACAATATGTTGCAATATATATTATAAAAATAAACAGAAAAATAATAAATTGAAATATATACAAAAAGTAAAATTTAAATTAAACAATAATAAAGGTATAGTTATAATATTCAAATTTGATACAATTCTTTCATAATATATTTTACATGTTACTATATGTATTACTGCCAAGTTTTATTTTATTAAAATTTAGAATTAGGATAAAAATTAGTATTAACTACCTGCTGCAGTAATTAATGATGCATATGCAAAATATTGTTTGGTACAAAAATGCACAAACGAGAGACCTTTAAACAGTGTGCTACGCTTTTCATTCGGTAGAAATAAATTTGAGCAAACTTTCAACCATTCTTCTTTTACTTTTGGGAGAAAATCTTCTATTTTTGGTAATTCTTTGGATTCTTTGACGGCTGTATCTACTGCTTCCCAATATGCATTTGTAACTATAGGTTTGGCAGATGCCAATGCACAAGCAAACTATATAAAATATATATTATAAAATATATAGTACAAGTATAAAATTGTAGTTAAAAATTGACAAATTTTTTCAAAAAAATTGACAAATGTTATTTATTTATTTTTAATGCAAAATATTTTGTAATATTTTCCTTACTTAGTATAAAGTCATACATGAAATTAAATAGTAAAAAATAATAAATTAATAGATACAATAATTATTGGTTAGATATATACAAGTTTATTAATTATATCCAATCTTATTTTTTAAACAAATAAAACAATTTAATATTACAAAATTTATCAATATTTTTCATGCTTGAAAAGTATATAAAAATTACATAACTGGAAATAAGATTTAATGCAAACACTTAAAAAATTTAAATAAACTAATCTCAATAACTGACAAATCTACACAAAATTATATAAAATCTTACTTTTGTAGTAAATAATGTATTTTTAGCTACTGTCAAATGGGTGCAAGAGTCCTCCCAAGTCTCTGACAATTTTGCTTTCAAATTGGAAACGATATCATTCAATTTCCTCAAATCTTCTTCATTCAAACTGGACTTTGCAATTACGAATGAATAGCATAATACTCTACAATAAAAAAAAATTTGTTACAAAAATAAATATTATTCATGTTAAAAACAATATTTATTAAAAATAGTACTAAAATAATTTATTCTGATAATCAAGATTAAAATTAAAATCAAAATGGTATAAGAATTAATTATATCATAAAATATTTAATAAATGTTAGATATATATATTCTTAAAATAATAAAATAAGACTTGCAAAATAAATTGTCACAATCTTACACAAAAGTAGACTCCTTTAGACCAAACTGTACTATATCACCAGCTTTCAAAATAAATTTTTTATCAGTAAGCAATTTTTCCTTCTTCTTATCTCTTATAATAAATGTTCCATATTTAGATATATCATTAATAACACATTTATATTGTGTCTAAAAGAGATATACATATTTTCAATATAATGATAAAAACATTTCTAAAAGATACATATTAAAAATTAATGAGAACTAAGGTAATACTTACCTGTGATTCCTCTGTTGGTTCTACAGAAATTATTGCATGACGTCTACTAATTGTGACATCTCCTTCCAATTTAATGTCACTTAGTGATTTACCAAATAATTTTTTCTGATTTGGTAAAATATAAACACAAAAACCTAAAAGAGAATACATTTTTAATTCTTACAATAGTTTTTTTCTCTATATGTAGAATTTATTAAATTATTAAATTACGAAAAAATAACAAAAAAAGATAAATAATTTTTTAAACTGCACATACATTAAAGTTTTAAATAATTTATTTATATAAATTATTTAGACCTTCATTATTTATAAATTTTAAAAGATGTATTAGGGTAACTGTCCCTATTAATGTGCCCTGAACCCTATTAGTGTGCTTTTATATTTAAATAAGTCATAAAAGTAAACTGGTACAAATATATAGACAAAGTATTTT